TTGATTTATTGATTGATTGATTGATTGATTGATTGATTGATTGATTGATTTGATTTGATTTGATTTATATCCCACCCATCTGGTATATTGTACCACTCTGAGCGGCTTACAACATAACATAGATACATTAAAATAACGTAATGACACAGTTCTAAATACACCCACTATCAGAAGCATGCGTCACCACTGTATTTATTCAGTTCTATGCTGATTCAATTCCATTGGAAGTAATGGAGCATAAAACTGAGCAGTGGGTGGTGTATTTCCATTAAGCAAGAAGTATAACATAATTGACAATTCATTTTTTTCTCAGTGCTTTTTAATTACAACTTTCTGTATATTTTAAAAAATAAGAGCCCCAAACTGAGCATATGTTTAATGTCTTCAGTAGCAAGATAGCACTTGCACATTTTTCTAGGCCAAAAATATAAGGCTTCCAATGACTTTTATATACTGAAATTGCCATATATGCCTGTAGGTCTTGAACATATAAATTCAAGAATGTGGAAAATCATATGGGTCAGCCATGACAAATTACCATATTTTTGACTGACAATTTAAATAAGGTTTGATAACAAGCTGGTCTAGAAAAACAAAGTCTCACTTCCAAATTTGAAATGCTGTAGTAATATTGAAATCGCACAGCTTTTGTTTCAGTTACGCACTAATTTTGGTCCTCATCCTTATTTAAATATTACATAAGTTCTAATTTTAACTCATTCATATAATTAACAATTCTGAAGTGAACATTTTTATTCCAGGTCGAGTCATTGTTGACTCTAACAAGAAACAATCTGAAGTAGTTCATAGTAATCTGATACTGATTTCCAGTTCTTTCCGTATTGTTATCTGAATCCACTCAACTGATATTTTGGGGTTTAGGACAATTACATTAAATGTACAGATAAAAATTCCACTCTTTTCTCTGTCAGGAAATTCTAATGATTAGTCATCAAGCCTCATGTCAATGATAGATACCCCATGTGTTTATTATGTGTGTGTTCTTACTATGGTATGGTTATTATTACCATATAATGTGATATTAAGGTCATGTATAGATACGGGGGCAAATATAAAAACAGATCTTTTTTTCGACAAAACATATAATGTGATATTAATGTTATGTATAGATATGGGAACAAATATAAAAACATATCTTTTTTTTGACAAATATAACCGATTCATCATATATTTGTCGATCTGTATTCATCAAATTTTAAGTCCTGATAAATACAGATTGACAAATATTTCCCTGTTTTTATTTATCCCCATAGAGGGGAAAAAGCCTTCCTATGGCTTTTCCATTCTGCCTACCGGGCTGCCGATCAGCTGATCAGTGGGCTGAGAAGCAGCCACCCACACCCACAGTCTACCACCACCCACTTCCTCTCCCTACCTTAGTCCCCCACCCCTGCCAACACCACCTTACCGTAATCATCGCTGCTGCTGCTGCTGAGGTCTCCATCAGGCCTCTGCAGCTGTAGAAAGGGAAACTGGGTGCCCTTTGCAAATATGGCGGTTGCAGCTTCATTTAGCATAGGGAAGCTGCAGCCACCATCTTTGCAAAGTGCAGCCTAGATTCCCTTAGCCTGCCACAGCACAGCAATGGGGGGTGACTCTGTGTGTGTGTGTGTGTGTGTCAGCAGGGGGGGGAATGGGTATATGGGTTTTTTTTTAGTAACCCCCCAGGAATAGTTCATGGGGGCAACTTTGTGCTTCATGAGTCATCAACTTTTGGCGACTCACGAAGCAGGACTACTCGCCAAAATGGTGAGTCGTCCCCATCTCTACTCATATGCATAATACATGCCTTTGGTAAAAACTTGGAGTTTTCCCTCACTTGAATTGGGAATGCTTTTTTTTTTGCATAGTGAAAATCTGCCTTTCCAGTGCATGCTGCATATGAAAAAGAACCTCTGCATACATCAGAATAAAATCTTGGAGAACTTGCTTTCTCAGATTGTAATTCCCGGAGTATCCCAGCTAGCATGCTTCTCAGAGTTACAGTTCAAATAGAATATCTATTCCAAGCACAAATCAGAATTCATACTTCAGTCACCCGCTACCTGTGGCATTTAATTATCAGTACAGTTCTTCTGAATCCCCACTAAAAAAACCTACATAGCTAGAGTATTAGATAGATGGATGTAATTTATATGCAATTGTCCTCATTAGGGAAATCCGCTCATAGATGTTAAATTTTATCAATATCTTAAATGACCAGAAGACTGAATAATGTTAGGATGAATCCAATCTAGGTTGTCCTTAGTTCTTATTGAAAGAAATGGAGTCTAGATGTCACGACTACCTTATTCATTTCAGTGGATCTGCTGAAAATATGATTAAGTCTAGATATAACTCATTGGTATTTTTGGTGTTTCCAAATGTTAAGTCTAGTCACTAACATGAGAATTTTATTTTTATTTTTTATTTTATGTCTGCTGGTAGGGTGTCTTTATGTACCTCACTAACAGACATGAATTTGGGAGACTTTTATCAACTGCCAACTACAATATATCTCACTACAACAATGATCTCTGGCAAATCTTTGAGAATCCTGTGGTATGTATCGAAATGTTCGCTAAAATTATTTTCAGATTTTATAAAGCAATCTTTTTATAAGGAACAGATCAAAGAAAATATTCTTAAATGCAAGCCTTTGGTATTGTTCACACTTATTCTTTCTATTTTCTTATTCAGTCTGAAGAAAAAATGTACTCTGTGCATTTTTAAAAAATAATCAAAAAATCATTTCCCCCAAATTATTCCTTCCAGGACTGGAAGGAAACTTACATAAACCCCAACTACTCGAAAATCTTCACTGAACATATAGTGGAACAGGTAAGTGACCACTCTCCTTTGGATAGTAATACAGTGTGATCTTCCAAATGACGTTAGATATTGTCATTTGACTCTAAGGGCTCCAGTCAGTCAGTGGGAAAGAAAGGAGAACTGTAACAAATCAAAGAAACTCAACTTTATTTGAACAAATTGGCCGCAGATTTATTGATTACAGCTGGCACCTCCAATGATAAAAGAGGACAGCTAGCTAAGCCTAGAACTTTTTATGCACTCCAGACTGAGTCCTGTCTACCAGCTGACCCAATTAGTTGGCTTTGGAAGCATGAGGAGCTCCTTCTTTCACACAAGAGGATTCTGTGACAACAAAGACAGCTCAACATGGTGGCCACTAGAGATGTAAAATTTCTAAACATTTCCATTTTTCCAGAGGAAAAAAAATCCCCATTTTTTTCTGGAATAAATGGAAATTTTTTGGAAATTTTAGAGAGAGAACTGAAATACATAAATTCAGAAGCTTTTCATTAAGGTCTTCATGTTTTGTAGTTCAAATACCATGTTGTAGACATATTATCTATTATTATAAAAGAACATATTCCACATTCCTTCATTTTTTCCCATTTTTTTCCTGGAAAACAAAAAATAATTTTGGGAAAAATATAGGAAAAAAAACTCCTGGATTTTTCCCAATTTTTCCATTCCCCCTCCCCACAGGCCTTGTCATTTCTAGTGGCCACCATGCTTCCCCTCCCCTCCAGAGCCAGCCAATGTGAAAAATGGCCCCACTAAGTCAGAGGCTGCCACGGCTTCCAGATTAGGCATTCTGTACAGAGTTAACATGCTTTATTCATTTTGCACATAAATTCTCTGTAGCAAAGAACACTAAATGTCTCACAAAAACAACAAATCCCAGGATTCCATAAGATGGACACATGGCAGTTAACATGGTAGCAAACTCTCTCAGTTTCCAGCTGACATTCATCTAGTTGTCTTCCTGTATTTGATTGTGGTGGTACTATCTTTCCCAGACCAGAATTTCATGAAAAGAGCAAAGGAATAGTACACTTTCTACTGGTGTAAAGTTTATGTTACGTTTCCATCTTTTTGAAACCATATATGTACACTTAGTAGTGTGGAAGGTCATAAGAATATAAGAAGAGCCCTGCTGGTTCAGGCCAAGGACCCATGTAGTCCAGAGGCCCCACCAGATGCCTCTGGGAGCACATGAGACTACTAGATACCTGTCTCCTGCTACCCCTCCCCTGCAACTGGTATTTTGATATACCTTCCTTTTAAGCCTGGAGACTATACATCCCCATCATGGCGTGTAACCTGCGGTGGACTTTCCCTCCAGAAATTTGTTCAATGCCCTTTTAAAGGCATCTAGGCCGGATGCCATTGCCATATCCTGTGGCAAGGAGTTCCACAGACTAATAATACGTTGGGTAAAGAAATATTTTCTTTTGTCTCTTCTCACTCTCCCAACAATCAATTGGAGTGGATGTCCTCTGGTTCTGGTATAGCGTGAGAGGGAAAAGAGCTTCCCTCTATCCACTTTATCCATCACCTGCATAATTTTATACATCACAAGGTCAGTTCTGATTCCCATTGTAGCTTATAATGGGAGAACAGTTATTAGTACAAGGAGGTACCTCTATAGAAATAGAATAGAAGTGTATATTTAAGCCATGTGAAGGCTAGTTACAGGAGAGACCAAACTCAGGGTAGAATGAAGGAATTCTATGGGAAAGAGAAGCCAGGGAGGGAGAAGAATGGATTTTCCCACAGTTCTGTTTTGAAACTGATTCAGTTTTGCATGTGATCCCTATTCAGTTGTTCCCTAAGTGGGTATGACTAGTGCACTAGCCTAAGTGGGTATGACACCTTGTCCTGTCCATCATTATTTTCAACCAGCAAAAGTGAAGCTCTTAAGAGGGGGAGGCTGCTTTGTCCATGTTGCCTCCCCATAAAAGCCAGAACCTCACCCATCCAAAATATTTCCCTGTTGTCCCCTTTCTATACTATACTATCATTGCAAGTATCTCATCCTATCAGCTTCTTAAAATTTGGAATGAGGAAGAGGGAAAATTTGGCTGGAAAGAAAATGGACACTCACTACTCTTCCCTTAAAGAGGCCTGGAAACCTCTTCAACCCTCATGTAAACTGGCCTTCCTTTTTTGCCTGTCCGTGGCATTCAGGATGAATGAGGAAGCGTAAAGAGGGAGGGTTATTTTTTTTATCCTCAGGTTTTATGGCCAGAAATTTCCTGTTAGGCTTTACAGAACAAATGTTTTCTGTGGTTCCCTCACCACCATTCTTGCTGCTGGAAGGTAGATATTTAAGGAAACATAGGAGTTGGATTTATTTACCACCCAGGAACTTTGACTCTGATTATAAAGCAAAAGTTACAGTTGCACATTCTTCCCCCCACCCCATCCCAATTTCTATATTGCTCCAATCCCAGATTTGCAGCATTGCTAATAATTGGTTATGTAGCACCCTGTCTCTTTGCTATGACTCTGGCAATCTGCCGTTCTAGCCTCAAACCCAACTCTCCATGTCTGTTCTCCTCATGTGCTTATGGAAAAACCCCACAAGAATAAACCACCAACCTGGCTTCAGTATCAGAGTTGACAAATGTTTGCAGGGTGCCCATAATCTAGAAACTGCTTGACACCTGAGGAGTTGCTTGGGATTACTACATCATAGTACAAGTGCTTCTAAGAGAAATTAAATTACTGGAAAAGGAAACATTATTTTTTCCATGTATGGGAATGTTAGAAAGATGAGTATCAGTATCACATACCAGCGTGGGTATTTGTGGGCATAGGAGAGGAAACTACTCTTCACTGACTGACACAGACAGCTGCTGATGTGGTTTTTCCTTTCAGATAATTAGAGATTTGAGATAATTTCATTTTATGTAGTTGGTCAGATACATTATGCAGAATAACCAATGCATAATTTTAAGGCCGAAATCTTGTTCCTTCACCTAATGAGTCACAGCTAAAGTAGGTTGATTGTTGTTGTGTTGAGTCAGCTCCTCAATAGGTTCTGTTGATGCAATGGGCATTACTCTTAGTTGCTACTTATTGTATTAAGCAACAGGATTTCAGTCAGAGTGTTAAAAGATAATGAATGTCTTTTTTAAAAAATAAGTGATTCAATCTGACTGGTAGAGGAAGGGAAAAAGAGAAAGAAAGAAAGAAAGAAAGCTTTTTTAAAAAATAAGTGATTCAATCTGACTGGTAGTGGAAGGGGAAAGGATATATATTTTTCCATTTCTCCTTTCTTTAAATTTGGAGATAGAAAACAAAAGCTGTGTGGCAGGCTCATCTGATGATGTACAGAGCATAAGATGATAATAATGCAAGGGTGTATATCTTTCTACTTCCTACTTATAGCCATGCCCAGATGTGTTCTGGTTTCCCATATTTTCTGAAACAGCGTGTGATGAACTCGTTGAGGAGATATTTTTCCATTTCTCCTTTCTTTAAATTTGGAGATAGAAAACAAAAGCTGTGTGGCAGGCTCATCTGATGATGTACAGAGCATAAGATGATAATAATGCAAGGGTGTATATCTTTCTACTTCCTACTTATAGCCATGCCCAGATGTGTTCTGGTTTCCCATATTTTCTGAAACAGCGTGTGATGAACTCGTTGAGGAGATGGAACATTACGGACAATGGTCTGGTGGAAAACACCACGTAAGCATAGCATTTGGAAACGATATATAATACTGTTAGAAAGTGTGCATATTGCTGAAAAAAGGTGAGCAAAACCCAACTCCTCTGTTCATGCAGGGCAAGGTTGCAGAATGACACTATAGTTATTTCCAATAATAGTCAGCATATGGGAGTAAGGTGCATGCTCACAATCGAGAACCAGAGGAGCCATTCAGGTATATGGCCTATAAAAGGGGCAGGATTCCGCCATATTGTTTAAGATGGGTTGTAGACTTTAATTGCTAGTTTACAAAGCAAAACTTTGAATCAGTTTGTGGGTTGTGCGTCATCTTAATCAGTAATGTGAATGCAGGCACATTTTTGTTTTCATTTGATACTATGTACAGTATATCCATCTCAAAAACCAAGGAGCAGCTTTGCTGGATTTCATGGATTGCTGCCTTGTCGTGGCATCGTCTTAATCAGTAATGTGAAGAATGCAGGCACAATTTTGTTTTCATTTGATACTATATACAATATATCCATCTCAAAAGCCAAGGAGCAGCTTTGCTGAAGCTAATATTCTAAATTTTAATACAATGCCATTTTATCTTTATTCATTTTAACATTTCACTTACGTTTTGTCCTTTCTAATATTTAGTAGTGTCTTTTAATATAAATATGCATTTTGATGGAACCCTAACAAAAAAAGGATATTCCTGTACAGATCCTTATTACAGTTTAAAACTTTTTAAAAAGTTTATGTGTTTTCACATTTATATTCACTATGGCTATGATGGTTGAACTAACAACAAAGACTATCAATTATTTATTTATTTATTTATTTATTTATTTATTTATTTATTTATTTATTTATTTATTTATTTATTCCATTTATACCCCGCCTA